GTGTGATGTCTCTGAGTATGTTGGCTCTCATGAAATGAACTTCGTACATCCAGTGCTTGGACACTACTGAGGATTTGGATGTGGAGGACGATATATCATAGTCTGAGGATCATCTGGGGAAAAACACAGTGGCTTCCTTTGATAGCCTACAATTTTTAACTCATCTAAGAAACATGGATTCAAACTTTTTTTGGGGGGGGAGGGGGAATCAAAACCCCTGTCATTTGTCTTTTAGTTTTCTTAGCAAAGTGAGATTGAAAAGCTGAAGAAACTGGAATATGAAAGAACATAGGGAATAAAAATTTTAGTAAATTTTCTGGGGTTTTTTGACTTGTTTTATGTTTGTTTTAGTTTTTGGGTTTTTTTTTCAGTAGGCGCCATAGAATTTATAATAAAAATTTTAAAAGTAATACTTGACTTCATTAGCATACAACAGATAGTAATGCTTATGATTTTTAAAAATGGCCTGGCCAATCAATACAAAATTGGTATAAAACTTTGGCAGTGACATCAGTTGTCATCTCCCCCATTTGCCAATAGTAGAGTAGTACCTTTCTCATAGTATGGACTGTTGCAGGCAAAGGTCTGTTAATTATTGTGTGGATAATCGTATCAAGACCTGTGTTGAATGAGTTCTTGCCCGTGGGATTACCAGCAGCATGTGTTCACATAATAGAGGGTGTTTGTTTTTCATGAAATGTGCCTAAAATATTTGTACTGTTTTTTTACTCTAATGTGTTTAGTGGTATCTGACAGATAACATGCCATTTTAGAATAGATTTGGTTCTAGGTAGTTGTGTTTATTTTATTATAATTAGAGAGTGTCCTTTTTGAAAACAATGCTTTAAACGACACACAAATGCTAAAACATCTACATGGGCATTTCAGAAATTATCAGCCTAATATTGAAAAAATAGATACTATTTACCTAAAAAAAATACTTTAACAGAGGATTTGGTCCAGTGCTCTCCTGCAGCTGTGATGGTCCCCTGATGCTGGTCTCTCCTCCGGTGCAGATGAGCTGTGGCAGCAACCTGGTGTTGTGGTGTTGGTCCTTTTTCTGCAGGGTGGCAGCAGAAACGTGCCCTGCAAACAGCTCCCACACAGGGTTGGACGCCGCTCTGCTCAAGTGCCTTTGTCTGCCTTTGCTGACCTGGCTGCACCGTGTTGGCTCTGCAGAAACGTCAGCTTGCTCTGCCCATTGCGTGTGCTGTGCTCCTGCTGACTGACGTCAGGATGCGATGGCCGTGACCGAGAGGCCGGCCGCTCGCCTTACTCCTCGAGTTCACCTACAGCCGCTGAGCAACGCAGCCACCAGTGCCTGGGCGGCTGCTGCTGCCGGTGGTG